ATGGTCAGCTAACAGTGCAAAATGTATTCTAAAAACTGTGGTACAGTCTTATTTGGAGAATAGTTAGACAGTAACTTACTCAAATTCTCAAGTGTGCTTATCCTTTGACTCTGAAATCCCAGGTCCTGACTATACAGATACTAACAAATGTTCAAGTAAGACATAAGGATGTCCCATTTCAGTACTTTTTATAACAGTAAGTAATTGAGGGAATAAAACTAATTAAAAAGTCAATAAGGAGTAGTTAAAATTATAGATATAAAACATGGAATGGAACACCATGCAGCCGATTAGAAGAAAGAGGTAAAACTACTTGTGTAAATATACGTGTACATACATTATATACCAATGATGGAAATATCTCTAAGATATATTCTTAAGGAAAAAAGAAAACTGTAAAATATTGTCCCACTTACCTATATATAAATGTACTTATAGATTTATATAAAAATACGTGAATATATATGAATGCATAAATGTGTACATTTATATGCAAATATATCTGATATAAATGTTTCATATGTAAATGTATATATAAACATATACACATAGAGAAATACATACAGTCATCCCTTAGTATCTGTGAGAGATTAGGGCCAGGATTCTCTGTGGATACTGAAGTCCACAGATACTCAAGTTCCTTATATAAAATGATGCAGTATTTGCATATATTCTATGCATATCCTTCTATATACCTTAAATTTTTTTCTAATTTGCTTAATTGTTTTTTAGAGACAAGTTCTTGCTCTGTTGCCCAGGCAGGAGTGCAGTGGTATGATCATAACTCAACCCCTGGGCTTAAGCAATTCTCCTTCCTCAGCCTCCTCAGTAGCTGAGAATACAGGTGTGAGCCACTATGTCTGGCTAATATTTCTTTTTTGTGGAGACAAGTCTTGCTTGTTGCCCAGACTGATCATGAACTTTTGGCCTTAAGTGATCCTCCTAACTATATAAATGTGTATATATATTACATGTATATAGGTATATGAGGTTGGACAATTAAGTTTGTGAACTCATCCTAGAATAAGTGCTATATACCTCATTGCTGAATATGACTACTGTCACCAGATGGCCAGAATATGGGAGAGGGATCCTCACACTCTAGATACCCCTTAGCAAGCCCATTTTAATGAGGTAGCCATTCAGCAGAGTGGGCAAAACAATGGCCAACCCCCACATTTTGGGAATGTTTTGAAATAAGTGCTCCTGGAATATTATAGAACAAGGACTTTGTACTCTGGCTCCTGCAAGGAGTGGCCCCTTTACCAAGGGTGGTCCCTCCAGTGGCTCCCCACACCCACATTGTTTCTATACTGATAAGCTTGATTAAAATGCCTGGAATTGAGAGGGGTGGGCCAACTCTAGCTTAGTCCCCACTTCTGTTGTTTTCATTAATAAACTCCACCTTCTTCCCCTGACTAGCCTCTTCTGCTTTCTGTGGTCTATTACCCCATTTCAATCTTGTACCCAACAGGGAGTATTTCAAAGATGACCATAGGGATATTCAACAATGAGATGTGTAGCACTTTTTCTAGGATAAGTTCACAAACTTAAATGTCTGACCTTGTATATACACACAAATATAAATGCATTAAAATTTTCATGCTAAACTTTCTCTAATTAATTTTTTTAAGAGATGGAGTCATACTATGTTGCTGAGGCTGTTCTTGATCTTGCTGGCTTCAAAGGTTCTCCTGCCTCTGCCTCCCCACCTGCTGATATTAAAGGCATGCACCACTGTGCCTGGCCTGAATCACTAAACCTTGATTTTCTTTCAGGAGAATTAACAAAACTGGGTGTGGGATGTAGAAGTGGCACTGTCCCTTTTTATTACAGATGTTTCTATAGACTGAATTTTTAATAATTACATAATATTTTTATAAATAAAATAATAACACTTAAGAGAGGACTAACATTGCAAGTATTTCTTTCAACTTTTTGTTTGATTTATATAAATACTTAACTGATGGTTGCTATTTCATTTCTACTGAAAGAACTCAGGAAATTTCACCCCCAAATATGACTCCCTGGTATAAAGAATATTTTGAATTGAAGGCCATTCGTGGTCAAGAATCTGGAGGAGGCTTTCCTTCTATCTGCATACACTGGCCTGACCTGATCAATGGGAAGAACAAAATAGACAACTGACTCCCATTCCCTCTTTCTGTTATCTGCCTATATTTTAGGAATGAAGCTCAGGAGTGTAAGCAGACCTGGCCCAAATCATTTAAGTCATAAATAGCTGCCTACCAGGTTGATTCACAAGTCGATTTTTCTCCCACATCCATTTGTCCTCCCTAACAACCGTTTATCCTCCTATACTCCTCAATTTCCTCTCTCCCTTCCAAAAGGCATGCATAAAGATATCTGAAAACCATTGGAAAATTAAGTGATCACTGTGCTTTCTCCCCATACACATGGTAAATAAATGCATTCGCTTATTAATCTGCCTTAATTGTGAGTTGATCTTTCAATGAACTTTTGGAGAAAAGGAACCATTTCCCCTCACCCCTATAGTATCAATGAAGAAAGAACTGTCTATGTTCTTATATATAATGTATAAAAATAGTTGCTATCTTCTGAGAGCATTCCTTTCTGAGATAAATCTTCAACCTATGAGCCTACGGAGTAATAGCAATTATAATCTCCACTTAACAACTGAGGAATCGGAAGCTTAAAGACATGATTTTCCCAGATCACACTTAGGATGTGGCAGAACTGGGCTCTAAAAACCTGTGCTTATAATTATTTAAATATTAATACTGATCACTAACATTTATAAGAAAGATGAGATAGAGAACTTTTTTGCATATTTAATAATAGCTTTGTAAAGTAGTAAATTATCATGATCTTAATTCAGATGGGATAACCCTAGAAGTGACTTGCTCTAAATCATACATTTGTAAATGAACTAAAACACAGACTTTCTGACTTTAAATGCTAGGATCTTTCTAATTTCTACTTACAAAACAGTTTAAGAAGGATCTTGAGAAAATAGAGGCATGCAGCCAACATACAAAAATAAAACAAGATACAGATGCCTTTCACTTTAACAATGGGGTTATGTTCTGATGTAAATTGAAATATCATAAACCAAAAATGCATTTAATACACCTAACCTACTGAAGATCACAGCTTAGCCTAGCTTACCTTAAATGTACTCAAAACACATTAGCCTACAGTTGGACAAAATCACTTAACACAAAGCCTATTTTATAATAAAATGCTAACTATCTTGTAATTTATTGAATACTATACTGAAAGTGAAAAAAAAAAGATTGTATACTCAAAGTACAATTTCTACTTAATGCATGTTATTTGTGCACCACCATAAAGGTGAAAAGTTGAAAGGCAAACCATTTTTTTCTTTGTTTTTGAGACAGAGTTTCACTATGTTGCCCTCAGTAACATGCCATGGAGTCACCGCCCCCAGCAACTTCCAACAATTGGGCTTAAGTGATTCTCTTGCCTCAGCCTCCCAAGTAGCTGGGGCTACAGGAGCCTGCCACAACGCCCGTCTATTTTTTGGTTACAGTTGTCATTGTTGTTTAGTTGGCCCGAGCTATAAGGCAAATCATTTCTAAGTCAGAGACCATTTATATTTCTTTAGGTAAAACATGACATACATCTTCAAAAACCTACAAGATTATCTAGAAATAGAGCTAGACTTATTCTGTTTGAACCCAAAGAGCAGAACCAAGGGAGAAAATTAAAGGAAAAGATATTTCAGATCCTTGTGAAGAAAACTTCCTAATAATTAGACCTTCCCTAAAATGGAAGGGGTTTCCTCAGGAGGGAGTAAGCTTTCCATCACTAGGAAATTCAGAGACTGAATAGCTACTTATCTGAGAACGTATAGAAGGGATTCATGTAGAAGGTTGAACTAGATAAGCTGTATGATCCCCTTTTAACATTCTACAGCTTGAAGATTTTGTTAAAAAGAACTCATTTTAAACTATCAATTACCATTTTCACCCACAGCAAAGCAATAAACAATATAAAATTTAGGCTTCTAATTCACATATTATACTATTATTAGATGCATAATCTTACCTATGTTCCCTACAGTAACACATTCACCTTCCACTCATCTAGTGACATTAGTTTAAAGACGGCTGTAGGTATGCTATTTTTGGTCATAGTGATGTGTGAATATCTATCTATCTATCTATCTATATATATATATATTTTTTTTTTTTTTTCCCTGGTAGAGTGCCTGGTACTCACAGCAACCTCAAACCTTTGGGCTCAAGCAGTCCTTTTGCTTCAGTGTCTCGAGTAGCTGAGACTTACAGGCACCCATCACAATGCCTGGCTAGTTTTTCTATTTTTATTTTTATTTATTTATTTTTTTTAAATGGAGTCTGTCACCCAGGGTAGAGTACAGTAGTATCATCACAGCTCACTGCAGCCTCAAACTCCTGGGTTCAAGAGACCCTCCCACCTCAGCCTCCTGAGTGGTTGGGACTATAGGCATATATTACCATGCCTAGCTAATTTTTATTTATTTATTTATTTATTTGCAGATTTTGGCCAGGACTGGGTTTGAACCCACCACCTCTGGCATACGTGGCCAACGCCCTACTCCTTTGAGCCACGGGCACCATCTATAGTTTTTCTATTTTTAGTCGAGATGAGGGGGATGGAGTCTCACTTTTGCTCAGGCTGGTCTTAAACTCCTGAGCTCAAGCAATCCACCAGTCTCAGTCTCCCAAAGTGCTAGGATTACAGCACAGGCATAAGCCACCACACCCAGCTGACATGTATTCTTTAATGCAGCTTTTTCAACCTTTTTTTACCTCATAGCACACTTAAACATATAGTTAAACTTCTGTGGCACACTTATTTATGTTGGTTTTTAAAAAAGTAAAAAAAAAAAAAGGATATACTTACTGTGATTTGAACTTCTTTCAAAATTTATTAATTAATGATCTTTAAAATTTTTCACAGCACACCTGTTGAGAATCACTGCTTTAGTGGGACACTTGTTGTCTCCTTACCTGTAGAACTGCCTCCCAGGTAAACCAAGGGGATCAATAAATGCTCTTTCCAGCAGCATCAATTGGTCATTCATGATTCTCACTACAATGGGACTTAGAGAACAAGATGTACATAATTATAATCCTTACCATGAAACCCCCTGTTTTTCTTTTTTTTTTTTGAGACAGCCTCAAGCTGTTACCCTGGGTAGAGTGCCATGAAGTCACAGCTCACAACAACCTCCAACTCTTGGGCTTAAGCGATTCTCTTGCCTCAAACTCCCAAGTAGCTGGGACTATAGGCGCCTGCCACAATACCCTTAGCTATTTTGTGGTTGTAGTTGTCATTGTTGTTTGGCAGGCCCAGGCTGGATTCGAACCCACCAGCTCCTATGTAAGTGGCTAGTGCCCTAGCTGCTTGAGCTACAGGCACTGAACCCCATGAAACCCGTTTTAAAACAATATCAAAGACAAGGCATGAGAAAATAAACATCTAAAATCAATAGATCAATAGATTTTTACCAAAACATATATTAACATAATTAAGCTTTATATGATAAGCTACAATAACAGCAGGGTCAGCCTAATATTTTTAATAAACAGAGAAACCCACTGGGAAATGGTTTGTTTTATTTTTCTAGATCATAGACTGATCAAAAAGAACTGAAAGCCATTTTTCATTTCTTTCTAGGAGGATAGCCAGACCTCTTGGAAAGGGAGAGAGAGCATTGTTCCTGATAAGCTTTTCAGTTCTGTGGAAGAATGGAGCAGATAAAGCTGGACAATATAAGAGTAAATGGTGTCCGGAGCTGTCAGAAGGGTGGGAGGCAGCTGCACACAGCTGACAGGGAGTCCCCCTTCACACTCACACTTTCTTTTGGGGATGCTGAATAAATTCCCTGGGCTCTGCTATCATCTCAAGAAGGAAGAAGCCCTTCAGTGCTGACTTATTCAGCTTTCTGGCAATATACAAATAATCCTGATTAAGTCTGAAAAAATGTGACATGGACAGAAACAATTTATGCTTGTTACATAATGTCTTACTTCGAATATACCTTTTAAACTATTCTGAACTTAAAAGTGGTAAGATATTAAGTGAAATGCAAAAATGCATCAATGAAAAAAGAATTTCTTTTCTTTTTTTTTTTTAGTGCTAAGATGATAGGGTCTTGCTCTATGGCCCAGGTTGAAGCACGTGGCATAAAGCTCAGTGCAATCTCCAACTCCAAACAGGTGAGACCCCAGGTATGTGCCACCAAGCCCAGCTAATTTTTTAATATTTCGTAGAGATGGAGTCTTGGTATTTTGCCCAGGCTGGTCTCAAACTCCCGGCCTCAAGTGATCTTCCCACCTCAGCTTCCCAATTCACTAGAATCACAGGCATGAGCCACCATGTCCCACCGAAAAAAGGAATTTCTAAACTGATGCATACAAGTGTCATACAAGGGGCTAGAGTGAAATGTATTACAAATACAGTTAAACTTACATTATCAGCTATAGACAAAATTCTCATCAACTCCTAAAGACAGTTTCTTTGGCCCTCAACTTGAGATGAGATTTTAGTCTACCATTCAGAGCCATGTTCCTCAAACTTTAATGTTAGTATAAATCACATGGAGGGTCTTGCTAAACTGCAAAATTCTAATTCAATATGTTGTGGGTAGGGTCTGATATTCTGCTTTTATAACAAATTCCCAGGTGCTACTGCTGCTAGTGGTCTGCAGACTTTCAATTGAATAGCAATAATTTAGAGGTGAAGGCTTATATGAGTGAAAACAGTTCATTCTAGTAACAAGATTGATTTTCAAACAGTAGGCATTTGAAACTTACTTATTAAGATCAACTTGTGTAAGTCTTCTATGAAAATCTGAAGCAGCCTCTGAGAAGTTTTTCACAGCAGAAAATAAGGAGTCTTTTTTAAAAATGGAAAAGTAGAAAAGAAATTAGTAAACACAAGTGCTTCATATTTCAGAGGTTCACTTTCTTATTCTCCTTACTCTGGGTTTGTAAGACTGAATAGATGCTGAAACCACTTTTCTACTATGCTTTATTGGAGATCCATGAAAAAAATTTTTTAAATATTATAAAGAGAAATATTATATGAAAATTTAAAATGGATAAAATTTCCACTTAGGAAAACATCTTTAAGAAATCTAGGACATAAGTAACTCCTTAACTCATAGTTCACCAAAAAACCCAGCATCCTTTTATTTATTCATTCATTCAATACATATTTATTGGGATAGCTACTGTATACTTGACACTGGATACAACTCTGAATAAATATAAACCTGATTCTGTAATTATTACAGAATCACACAATAACAGTTTTTATTTTCAAATAGTACATTTAAGATCTTATTCAAATGACAACATGTGACAAACCAATATATCCAGACTTGGGGAAAGAAGATAAGGTTTGGCCTGGTCAAACTTTCCTTTAGTTCACAAAGTTTCTGAGGAAGGTGATTAGGTTCTGTGTCTCTCAGTATCTTTTGGGGATTGGTTCCAGGACCCCACCTCAATAGATATCAAAATCTGCAGATGCCCAAGTTCCTAAACATGTAGCATTAATATTTGCCTATATCCTATGCACATCCTCCACCATACTTTAAATCATCTCTGGGTTACTGATAATACCTAATACAATGCTTACTCATACTTCATTTGTGTGGATTTAATGTAGTACTCAAAACACAGCAAATTCAAGTTTTGCTTTTTGAAATTGTGGAATTCCTGCCAATTTTTTTTAACCACAGCTGGTTGAATATACAGATGGAGAACCCATAGATACAGAGGGCCAACAATCTATTGCAGAGGTCCTCAAACTTTTTAAACAGGGGCCAGTTCAGTGTCCCTCAGATCACTGGAGGGCTGGACTCCGGGCCCCAGGATGAGTTGGCTGCTAAGCAGAACAGGCAGCAGTGGCAAAAACACCAGTGGGCCCGATAAATGTCCTAGGCGGGTAGTTTGAGGATGCCTGATCTATTGTATTTTTCATGACAACAGACTACTTACTGTTTTCCATATTTTTCTAAAAAAACTTTAACATACATTATTGGTTTTTTGTTTGCATCAATCCTGTGATGCAAGCAAATAGAAGATACAGTATTCAATTTACTGATAAAGCACTTAAAGCTCAGGACATAGGATTTCTATTACGACAGAGCCAGTGAGTAAAACATTTAGTCTAAGTATATTCAGTACAAAAAAACCAGGGTGTTTTAGTCCTAGATATTCCTGAAGTCCTAATGTCATTTTAAAAATTACATTACCTGTCATTTTTTTAAACTTTGTTCAAATCAAATAATCTAATAATGAGTATAATAAAAGCTAAGAGAAGAGAATATTGAAGATGAATTTAAATGCAGTACGTAAGTCAAGATAGATAGGAACTGAAATGTGTCCCTGGGATCTAGTGACACAGGTCAATAACAGCTACGGCAAGAGCATTTTCTCCACAGAAGTAGGGATATAAGACAGCACAGTGGATTGGTTGGTAGGAAGTAAAGAATTATAAAGCAGTAATATAGATTATGTATTCATTTATTTGCTGCTTCAATCATACCTGCATTCCTTCATTAATACATTATCTCAGGAACAAATTTTCCCTGGCACTAAATGAAGAACTTTGATTGTGAAGGAAGTGGAACACATCAGGTAGAAGAAATCTTGTTAAGATACAAAAGATTTCTTCCTATGACTGCTTAAAGAAAGAAAAAAAAAAGAAAAGATAGGAAAGATATGAGAATATATAATTTGGTGAATAGTTACCAATGATAACAGAGATTTTGAAAACATAGCAAAGAAAGGCATTATTAACAGGTCAAACCTTAGGGCAAGACAGTAGTTAAAGGAATCAAACTTTTCATAAAAAAGCTCTTCAAGTGGCGTAGGCACCAGCCACATATACGGGAGCTGGAGAGTTCGAATCCAGCCCAGGCCCACCAAACAACAATGATGGCTACAACCAAAAAATAGCTGGGCGTTGTGGCAGGCGCCTGAAGTCCCAGCTACTTGGGAGGCTAAAGCAACAGAATTAATTAAGCCCTGGAGTTGGAGGTTGCTGTGAGCTGTGATGCCACAGCACCCTACCCAGGGCAATAGCTTGAGGCTTTGTCTCAAAAAAAAAAAAAAAAAAGCTCTTCTACTATAACTGTGTAGTTTCAGTCTGTCAACTGAATCCTGACTTTTACAAACTAGTAAGAGGTACAAGTCATGATGTTCAGGATGACATCTGGATGACGGATAGCTATAAATCTATAAAGGTCATGCTTATTTCTCCAGTTTCATCTTTCATCATTTCCCCAGTCTTTGCAGAGATACTCTGATTATGTAAACACAATCCTGTATTTTACTTTCTTCATTTTATTTTCTAGATTATAGTAGTACCTGCTGTTCTTCATAACTTCCTAAAGATTGCTAATCCTTTACGGATAATAGTCATACGGTCATCACTCCACACCTCTTCTCTGAGCTCCTATATAATAGTGCCCCCTATTTGCCCCTAAAAGACTGTCTTTTGCATTCTTCTCCTGCCCAGCCTGAGACTTCAAGTTTTTTCAGGACTATGAGTATGCCTTATACATCCTTATTTTGCCCAGGAAAACCAGAGTACTTGGCACATAGTAGACATTCAGCACATATATGATATTTGAAATATATACTAAGAATATGTGCCCTCAGAATAAAAGAAAATAGTTATAACAAAACACTAATAACAGGTAACATTTATGGAGCACTAAGTGCTAGCCACGCCTGCTCCTATATATTGCACAATGAACCTCCAGAATAATCTCTGGCAAATGTTATATTCTTTCTTTTTTCCACCATTTTACTCATATGAAAACTGACACATAAAGAAATTAAGTAACTTTTCCAAGCTCACAGAGGGACCAAATGGTTGAGCCAGGATCTGAACCAGGCAAACTGCTTCCAAGCCCAATATTCAGAGCTCCTGTATGACATTTATTATTTCATCTCTACTCTGTCGAACAACCACCAATGGCCAGTTATAAGGGGAAGAAAGCTTATAACTATGTAGAAAATCCTTCATGTAGATAAAATGCCAAAAGATGTATGCAGTAATAATACTGATAGTGGTACTAATTAAAAAAATGTCTGTAATAGAATTGGTGGTTTTCTCTACTTTTCAATCTTTTTGTAATAATGTTGCATTCTTCTAGTATTGTTTCTATAACAGTAAAAATGTTCTTGAAGACGGTAATATAGGTAAAAATGTTTACCATCCCAATGTTTGTAGCAATCGTATGGTCATAGTGCATTCATCTTATACAGATTAGATTAAATCAGATTCTTTAATAGAAGTTTGTTTAAAAGTTTTTGTCTAGAAGTCAGAATTAGAGAAAGAGATATATTCTAGTATGAAGCAGTATGTATTGTTCGTAATAACAGATAACATCTTAAAGTTCTATCTTAAAGACTGTAAAATATCTGTCCAACCATTTCTTACCAAATGATACTCCATAGTCTCTCAAGTGGTGGTCATGTTTCTTAGATAAGTTGTAGATACTTGTTGCATAGTTCTGCAAAGCTTTTGCATAGTCTTTAATATTGAAAGGAATGATCGTAGAGTCTGCAAGTTCATACACCAGTGCTCCTCGTAACTGAGCCACAGAAAGCTGTTTTTTAAATGTGGGGTCGTAAAAATTCTCTACCAGTTCAAATGTCTCATAAATTGTATGGTATACTGGGTAGCTGCTGTACTTATCTGTTTTCTAAAAAAAAAAAAAGAGAGAGGGCCATAAATATTTAAAATATTTAATGAAAAATTACAAACATATAGCACCTGAGTTTTATTACAATGAAGCAAAAAATTTAAAATCTAATTAAAATACTACAACCAAATATTCACTGCTTTAACATTTTACCATTATTTGTTTGATAATTCATGTAACATTCTTTCAAAATGCTGCTCCTTGAAAAGTTTTCTTATTGTATTTTTGGTAACTCAGTTTAGAAAATACATATTCAAATTGTACCTCAGCACAATTCAAAATTATCCATCAACTGATGGACTTGTTGCATAGTTCTGCAAAGCTTTTGCATTGTAATAAAACATCTGGGCAGCTAACTATCTACATAGTTGAAAGATAATTTATTTAAGTAACTTACTTCCCACTTAGTGCATGCCAAATGCCATTTACCCTTTATTATATAATTAGGAGCTAAAATTATGAATGTAAATTATTACATATCCTGTGTAAATTATGTAAATTATTACATATCCTGTGTAAATATATTCTAAACTCTTAAGTCTGCCTATTCTAATTTTAGTTTTTTCCATCTACTACCTTATTGCAGAGCTATCATTCTTACTAGTTTTTTGTATCACTAAAAAGCATGCCCTGTATCAATCCCTTTCCTTTTATCTTTGTTTTCAAAACTAAATAAATTGATCAAATTGATACCAAAAAGTATAAAAGTGAATAGGCCTTGAAAATTATTTAAAACACACCTTTTATGTATTAAGTGTAATGAATGTTATTATACAGCATTTATACACATATTTTGGTTATTTTGGAAGTGATTTTCTTTCTTTTTTGTATTCTGAATAGTCAAATTTGTTAGTGATATATATGTATGTATATATATACATATTTAATGTCACATTACATACATTATATATTAATAGGAATAAGCAATGTGTTGATGTATTGCAATTGAGATTTGAGAACTGATTAAAATGTATGACAAATCTGTATCTATTAATGTAATCTGCAGTTTGGTTTATGAAACTACTTATTACATTGACAAGCATGTATGTTGGTTATATTATAAGTACTTGCATATCCATTCAGGATATTTCTGTGACAACGGTACAAACCAGTCAGTGCAGAAGACAAAAGAGGATCGAGTTAAAAAAAGAAACTTGCTTTATTGCCTAAGAGGCCTTGCCTTAGATGACAGTCAAGACTGAGAATATGGAAAGGGGTGGTTACAATAAAGAATCTTAGTCTAGATCCCCTTAACTGAAATGTCCTCCAATTGCACTTTTCCTCAGGAACAACACTAACTTCACCACCTGCAAGACTAGTCTAGAGAAATGAGATTTTTCTGGCAAATCCTGCATCAGGAAAAGGATATGAACTACTCAGTACCAATAACCAGCTAAGTATCTGGCATTACTCTGGGAACTGTCATTTCATTGAAGAACTCTGATAATGAAATATTCACAAAATAACTCAAATTCTATCCTAGTCTATCTTCAAAGAGACATGTGGTCTAACTCTATCCCTGGAATTCTTCCCAGGCCACATGTCCACCAGATGTCGGGTGCCAAATGACTCAGCAACAAAGTTCTCACCAAAGGAATGTGGATGAAATGCTGTATTTTCAAAATGATAAAATGGTTTACCTTATTCTTAGTATAACGGGCTCGGCCTGAAGCAATTCCAAGTCTCTGAAAATAAGCTTCAAAATCACTTCCAGATCCCAGCTTATTGATTCTAGATGTAAAATATAGTATACACACACAGTGAAGTAAATTATACAAAGCTAAATAAATGGGAAGAATACCACAGAATTATATGTACACTTCTAAGTATTAAGTAAATTTTAACGATCCTCAAGATACTTTCCTATCATCTGCTGAAAAAATCACCATGATAAACCCATAAATCTTAATTGAATGGCTCGACGCCTGTAGCTTTGCAACAAGAACACCAGCCAAATATACCAGAGCTGGTGGGTTCGAATCCAGCCTGGGCCTGCCAAACAACAATGACGCTACAAGAAAAAAAAAAAAATAGCCAGGTGCTGTGGTGGGTGCCTGTAGCCCCAGCTACTTGGGAGGCTGAGAAAAGAGAACCTCTTAAACCCAAGAGTTTGAGGTTGCTGTGAGCTGTGATGCTACAGCACTCTACCAAGGATGGCATAGTGAGACTACCAAGGGACACATAGTGAGACACAGTGTCAAAATAAATAAATCTGAATTGAATATGAATTAGGCAGTGGCCACCAAAGACTGAAGCCTGGTGACAATCCTCTCTTACATATTTCCAGCATTTATGGTTTTACTTAGTGGGGAAAGACAACAAAGACATTGGCCTTGCCTTCAGAAAACTATCATCTAGTGAGAAATTATCACAATAGAAGTCTATATTTAAGACCACAAAGACTCTAAAAACACACCTCAGAAATTAATCTAATTGTATTTCTTCACATATTATTAAGAAACCTCTATCAATGGTATGTATCCACATATACACACATATATAAAATATAATGACATGGAAAATTACTTGTGATATAAAAAGTCAGTAAAGCAGTATATAAAACTGCATATGAATTTAGACTATAATTATATATTTCTAAACTATTAGATTATAAGATATGTTATTAAAATTGAGGACTTCAGCTCGGCGCCTGTGGCTCAAGTGGCTAAGGTGCCAGCCACATATACCTAAGGTGGCAGGTTCGAATCCAGCCCGGGCCGCCAAACAACAATGACGGCTGCAACCAAAAAAAATAGGCATTGTGGCGGGCTGTCCCTTGAGCCTAGGAGTTCGAGGTTGTTGTGAGCTGTGATGCCATGGCATTCTACCCAGGGGGACAGCTTGAGGCTCTGTCTCAAAAAAAAAAAAAAAATTGAGGACTTCAGGGCTGGGCCTGGTGGCTCACGCCTATAATCCTAGCATTCTGGGAGGCTGAGGCAGGTGGATTGCTCTGAGCTCAGAGGTTCGAGACCAACCTGTGCAAGAGCAAGACCCCATCTTCAAACATAGTTGGGTGTTGTGGTAGACACTGTATAGTCCCAGCTACTCAGGAGGAGGCTGAGGCAAGAGAATTGCTTGAGCCCAAGATTTGGAGGTTGCTATGAGCTATGACGCTACGGCACTCTACTGAGAGTGACTAAGTAAGACTCTGTCTCAAAAAAAAAAAGAAATTGAGAACTTTAACTGGGGGAGGGTTATTTTTGAGACAGAGTCTCACTCTGTTACCCTCAGTACAGTGCTGTGGTATCACAGCTCACAGCAACCTCAAACCCTTGGGCTTAAGCAATCCTCTTGCATCAGCCTTCCAAGTAGCTGGAACTACAGGTGCCTGCCATAATAGCTGGCAAGTTTTTCTTTCTTTTTTTCTTTTTAGTAGTAGAGACAATGTCTAGCTCTTGCTTAGAGGGGGTCTCAAAACTCCTGAGCTCAACCAATCCACCCTCCTTGGCCATCCAGAGTGAGAACTTCAATGTTCTTAAAATCCTTTTTTGGAGGGAGGGGGATTGGAGGGATCACTTCTGAGGTTTATCTTACAAGGGTACAAGTGAATCTTTCTAAGAGCAGAATGTGAACATTTTAAAATAATAACTAAGAAAATGACATGAAGGCTATGTTAACCAGTTTGATGGAAGTGTTTTGGATTGTGTGTGAAAACCCCACACTGTACCCCAGAAGTGCATTAATGTACATAGTTACCATTCAATAATAAAAAAAAAAATTAAAAAATAAATCCTTTTTTGTACTACTTTTTGTTGGATTATCATTTTATAAGAGAAACATGCAAATTTTCAAGAGACTGATTTGGAATAGGAAATAAAGTTATAAGCTGCTACCATCATTTGTTGGTACAGCTTGAATATCCCCCATTCAAAGTGCTTAGGACCAAAACTGATTCAGATTTCAGAGTATTTTCTGATTTTGAATATTTGCATATACATAATGATATATCTTGGGGATAGGACTCAAGTCTACACACAAAATTCATTTACATTTCATATATATCAAATAATAGTTAATAATATAGCAAAATTTTTGATTAAAAATCTTGGAAAACTACATCTGTGTGCTATCACAAGCTAAGAGATTTAGCTGTACTGGCCAGTCACCAAGAAAAGGCTGGACAGAGGAATCCTTTATTATTTTTTCTTTACTCATGTTATTGAGGCAATGCCTAAGAATTGCATATTTGGAGAAACAAATGGAGAATAAGAAGTTATAATTTATTCCATGGTAAAAAAGATGCATGCAAATAATTTACCTAGGAAGATCTTTATTTTCAGGTGAAGGGTCTTTCTCTAACCAGCTTTCATAAAGTGATTTACCTGCAAAACCATCATCAGGGCTAGAGATCTAGATAGATAAATCAAATACTGGGAATTAGAGGCAGAAGCAACTAATTAATACCAAAATAAAATCATATATTATTTGCCAACAACTTATACTTCTTTCTATATGTGCATATATGTATCATGTTCATTTATAGAAAATATATTTTTGGCAAATGGCAAGAAAGAATCTATCCCAAATTCTTTATTTTCATTTCTTAGAGACAGAGTCTTGCTATGTTACCCAGGCTAAACCTGAACTCCTGGGCTCAAGTAGTCCTCCTGTCTCAGCCTGCTGACTAGCTGGGACTACAGGTGCATGCCACTGCAATGGGCTAGCCCCAGTTCTTATTAATTCATGATGCATACCCATTAGTAACTTTGCCATATACCTAAGATGTAACTTCCTGTTTATTTTGGTAAAATTTTTAATAAGAGTTTCAAATTTTTTACAAATGTCATCACTTTAATGTTTGGCAGCGTGGATTTCTTTCAGTGGGAAGACACTGGGAAAACTTAACATGTAAGTTTTATAAAATAAAATAATTTTAGTAAATTATTTTACCCAAAGAGAACTACAGAGAAGCCTCTGGGCAATAGAAGCAATCTAGATTAAGCAGCTGAGCTTGAAATTATTAATATAAGTCCTGGTTTTGAAGGGCAAGTGGGAGCTGGTGGAAGGACTATTATTTTACAATATCTAAGTATATTTAAACAAAGTTAGAATTTTATGGATTTAAAACACCTCTACATAACCTCATATTTCTTTTGTGAATTTTAAACACTCTTGTACATGTATAAATATACACATTGTATAAATGTAAATGTACTTTAAATGAAGGTAATATATATTTACATTTACAAACTTAGACTTGCATTGTCTTTCTCGACTCTAAGAAGAAACAGGGTCATGTGGTGGAAACATCATGAACTGCAGAGTCTAAATCTATTTTAGATCTAGATTCCTACATTATTAGCTATATTTTTTTTGTTCATAACTCTGCAATGTCCAAAAATAGATCCACGTTTGACCCAACTTATGTAACTCTGAAAGCATTTTAACTTGGTGTCTTATTTCCCCTCTTTAGACCTTAGTTTTCTCACCTGTAAAAATGGGGATAATATCTATCTTAATCTAAATACAATCTCCTCTAATATCTTCTCTGATATTTAGATAGAGTTAGTTATTCCTTTTTCTGTGCCAGTATTCATAACAATTTTTTCTACAGATATTTACTTAGTGCTGAACTCAGTAAAGATGGGGAAATAGAGAGTATAAATGGGAAAAAGAAAAACAGTTTCTACATCTTGGATATAACAATCAAACCTAATTGGAGATATATATACCAAACAAATATTAATACAGAGTTATGCTAAGCAATTAAAAAAAAAGAACAAAGTGTTATAAAGAAATGTGGATAGGAGATGTAAGATAGATGTGTCAACAGAAAAAGGCTTCCTGAGAAAATGACAATGAAATTTAAGAGCATTTAATAAACATGTTAGGTACTGTCACATGTTTTTGAACATTTACTCTATTTCCATTTTACCCCATCTCTACTTAGATGCACATAAGTTCTGTGTTTACTGTTGACACAGGTCCTTACCATTCTGTCCAGTAGAAGGTAACAGTGGTGATTCACAGACTAATGGTGAGTCTGGGAGTAGTGACTTGTGTTTAGCTCAGTCTGGAGGAGATAGTACTTGCTCACTGCATACAAAGTCCTCAGCTTAGAAACAGTCTTGACACTCCACAGAACCATTCTCCCCCAGCATGTTGCAGCAATAGCTGTGTGCTGCTCATTTCCAGCCAGCCAGAGCTGGCTACTCTGCTTCTGTCAAATTGCAATTGCTGAGAAATTCTGTTTCATTTCCTACATTTTTGGGGGGCTGAATGCCCATCAAAATCCTTTCAAAATGTAGTGCTAATCAGAACTCTGTCCCACACAATTTAGATCAGTTAAAAGAGAGAGTATCTCTTTATGCCTTGACCTGCTGGGCTCAAGCTATCCTCCTACATTAGCCTCCCAAGTAGCTACAACTTCAGGTACATTCCTCTGTGCCAGGCCAGATCAGTCTCACCTGCTTTACCGACATGCATTGTCAGAATCGGTAGACCTCTTCTAACTTATCAACACATTGTCCCATTTCTTGCTCTATCAGGCAGCTCCTCTTCTCTGTAAGCTCAGTCCTCTCCCTCCCCTTATTCTACCATCATGTCATCAGTATCGTTTGACTGTTCATGCCAACACACACTACAGGGTGACAAAACTGTAATAATCAGTACATAGGATGGTAAACAAATGTCCTCGTTGTCTACTTGGTCTTGATATGGCGGTAGATAGGCATTCACCTTTGTAGTAAAGTGCATAGACATAAACCACCCCCTCATTGGCCCCCAAATGCCTATTATTTCTGATATCAAAGGTAGAAGAGCCATCTCTCTAGCACAGCACAAACCATAAGCTCCTATTCTGAAAAGGCTATCCCAATAAGGATTTTATTTAAGCCTGTTTGTAGACAAGATGTTTTCACAGGACATTCTAATCAAAGGACTAAGGACATCAGTTATCCACAATGGTGAGAGAGTGGGGATGAGGATACTGAGAGGACTCTCATTTGGGAGAACTAGTTTTCAAAAACAACAGTAAAAAGGGAGGGGCAAGATTAAAAGAGATTCAGAGATAGTACCTAGAGAAAAGTGACACCTACTTCCCAATGTCACCTAAAGCTGAGCTCAGAGCAAACATTTCTGTAAGTAAATTTTATGGCAGAGAACTATAGCAGAACCTCCATACTTGACCACCTCCCTATATTGACCATCTCTTTAAGTTGACCTGACTTTCACAGACCAGACATGTACCACATGTACATATCAGTATAGTAGGCCTAGTTCCTAGGCCAGTTTGTTACAGTCCCCTGTGTGGTCAACTTACAGAGGTTCTACTGTATTTAAATGAAGGGTACAGATATTATGTAATTTTTAGAGATTCAGAGTGTTAGCTTTCACAGTATGTTTTCATTTCTAAAATTCATTATTTATTTATGAAATTCCTGCATCATCAATAAGTGTGCAAAATTATTTCTATTTTATCTTTAGGCTTGCTACTTAATTTATTCACTACACAGGCATATATAATGAGCAAACTTGTTAGAAATTTTTTAATAATTTCTCCATCATCAGATTTCTGAACTTCTTAGCCTATTTGTTATGACTTATTTCTTACCATCTTTCCATCAACACCTTTTCTATAGGCCATACTGAGCTACCTACAGGTCAGGGAAAATGTTCTTTTCATCCCTGCACGTCTTCTGAAGTACTATGTCCTCTGTTTAGAATGTGTCTCACTTACTTCTACATCCTTTCATTTAAAGGTAGCTAATTACTATTATAAACATTCATTATTCTGAAAACATCTTCCATGGTTCCTAACTCCCCCCAGCCTTATTTATTCCATAATTGTTCTCCATTGCACTTACTATGTCATATCAAATCTTCTGGTGAACTGTAATTCCTCATTTACAAGTCTGTGTCATCTCTAGATTGCCAAGTCTTTGAATTCAATGACCCTGTCCTTCTCTAATTGTTCCTGCTGGAATTCATTGTATAAAGTACATACCATATGTTGAATGAATGAATAAATACGAGTAGCAAAGGCAGTTTTTGAACCCCCAGGCTTTGCCTTCCAGCTCAATATTCTTTCTGGTATATCAAAATGCCTTTGCCAGATAAATATTATAAACCTGATATATTATAACTATATATACAATTATTAATAAGAACAAATATAATACAAAAGACAATGATGATACTATCTTCATAGTTACATCATGTAAGTAAACAGTAAATAGCATATTAAACATTTTTGTTTTGACTTGTCATTTACATGAGTCAACTATTTTATGGCACACCTGTTAAAAATAATCACCACAAATTTAGGGGAAATGTATACATTCATTCCCCATTCATACATATACAGCAAACACATGACAACAGATCTCCTTATGTACCTCTTTTGTCAGTTTATACACCAATTGGTGAAGAAGGGGTGTACAGTCAACTCTTAGAGTATAATTGCCTGAAATACACAAAGAGTATTATTTCATATTTCTAAATAAAATTCCATCTATGTTTACCTCTTAACTTTATTTTATAATTTTAAACAAGAGATAATTGTCTTCAAATCACAGACAGTATTCCCATGGAATAAAACAGGGTGGAAATAATTCCTCAGGAGGAAGACAGGCTGAAGCACATATTTTGGACAGAAGAAGGACTAGGTGGACTTAGTTGCTAAGCAGCACCTTCCACAGCAATTATAGGAGTCATCTTTGTGGCAGCATTTCTTGGGGGGATTTGGCCAAGGAAATGGTAAGGCTGCAGCATTCATTTCTTATTTTTTTAATTCAACTCAATAACATACGTAGTGTACCAAGACATTAGAAAACAGCATGTCTGTCAGTCACCAGCAAACGTGCTCTAACATGCATCTAAAGTAATAACAATGCAATAAAAGTCTAGAGACATGAATCTTATCTGTCCGATCCAGACAGATAAGTTTGTGTTTAGTACAAATTTGTTACGATAAATATTTCTGTATGAAATTTTCAATAGAAAGTTTTTAGCCAAATTCCTTTAATATCGCCATAAAAAAATGTGGTTAATACTAGACTTTTAAGTAGTAATCTAATAAAGGCAAATGCTAAATACCACATACAACAAGAAAATTAGGAGCAATAGCTTAGTCATAGATCCTACTGATTGATTCATATGAATAATTATTATTTTCTTTGTGGTAAAAATGGAAAATGAAGGTGTTATTAAGGAATCTCTTCAGAAAAGCTCTCATACAAGTAAATAATGTATTAAAGATTTTGTTTTGATTTGTTATTCATATGAGTCAACTATGTTCTGTCACCTGCTAAAAATAAGACCACTAATTAGGGGAGGTTATTAACAAGTGGAAATTTCTAGGCTTAAAGGATGATATACTGCTCAACAATAAATAAAATTATCTGAAATAAAACTTACCTTCTATAGATGAATCTGAGTTGATATAAGCAATGCTTCTCTCCTGGAGTGTTTTGGCATTCTCCTATTTTTGAAGCAAAGTTGTTACTTAAATCATATTTACAATTGTGAAAATGTAAAAAAGATAAGCAAGTTAATTTTATGAAAGAGTAGTTTACAAATACCTTTATAATTAAACACCTATGCCTGCCTCTGAGCATAATTTCTGAGAAAATACTGATTATTGATTGATTGACAACAACATTAATGCAATTAAAAGAAGAATGAAGAACATTATGAATTAGTAGCTACTGTTTATAGCAAAAGTAGAAATCCCTACAGAAAAAAATATTTTTAAAGAACGGTTCCATGATTCTCTGCATCAGAATATGCAGGGCTATGGCGCTAGGATTCTGGAATTCTACCATAGATCTTCTGAATCAGAGTTGCCCAAAGTAAGAACCAGAAGTCAATTATTTCCTAATAAGTAACACTGGCAACTGATTGTTACATACTTGAAATCTGAGATCCACTGAGAGTAAATACTCAAGTAAATTTATAATTTTAAAAGTGAGAAATATAAACTTATAAATATATTTATAAATATAGATACAAATATGAATATAGATATGTAGAGAAATTAAAGGTTAAAAAAGGAAGAGCAGAGAGAGGGAAGTAGGGAGGGGGTGGGGTCTTGGTGTGTGACCCACCTTTTGGGAGCAAGGCACAATCATAAGAGAGAGGGACTTTACCTAACAAATGCAATCAGTGTAACCTGGTTTCTTGTACCCTCAATGAATCCCCAACAATTTAAAAAAAATAAATCTTAAAAAAAAAATGAAAAAAGGAGAGGAAGTCAGAAAAAGTTAGAGGAAGAAAAGGAAGGACAGTTAAGACAAAAATATGACTCTCACACACTCATGCACACATACTACCCAGATGCAAGAAAGATAAAATAGAGGGAGACCAGTGTAGTCACATACACGGGAACATGCTGATAGAGTCTTTCACCTCTCTCTCTAACTATTTACCTTATGAGACCATCTTATAGTAAACATATTTAAAGCTGCATATAGTTACAGCACAAATAAAAACTGTCAATTCTTTACACTTGCCTGCACAGTCCAGATGATAGTTGCCTCTGTTATAAATGTAAAATCAAAGTTTCCACTATAATATGTTTACAGTAGAAATAAAAAATATTTCTTATGTGTATTTAAAGGAAAGAAGTTTGCTGCTGAATATGACCAAGAATCTGGTACAAAACTGGAAAGAATATTAAAATTGTCTTTTAAGGTACATGTATACAAATTAAACCAAAGTATATTTATCATTTTGGTTCTTAGATTTCTTTGACCTTTAAACTGCTGAAATTTAAAAAAAAGACACATGTATTTATGTATCACAAGAAATTATATATTTCCAAAGTAAATGGACTTCAATGAATACAGGAGCAGGAAAAAAGAGTAAGTGACCTAAAAGTGAAATTTGATTCAACTAAATTAATATTCTACTTCCAAAATGCATATTCATAATATAAATGTAATAACAATTTGCAATATAAATGGAATCAAAATAAACATACACAAATAAGGAGCATTTCTATATAGTAATAACAACCAAACTCAGAATCAAAATGAAGAACTGGATACTATTTGAAACAGCTATATAAAATAAAATACTCAGGAATACACTTAACCAAAGAGGTGAAACATCTCCACAAAAAGAACTAAAAAACACTGATGACAGAAATTATTTGGCACAGATGGAAAAGCATTTCATGCCCATGGATGAAATATAGAAAAATCTATATGTAAAAATGTTCTTATTGTCCAAAATGATTTACAGGTTCAATGCAGTGCCCATGAAAATACCAACATCGTGTTTTACAGAATTTGAAAAAAAACCCTAAATTTCATATGGAATTTTAAAAAGCCCAAATAGCCTAAGCAAACCTAAGCAAAAAGAATAAATCTGAAGGCATCACATTATCTAACTTCAAAGTATACTACAAGACTATAGTAACCAACACAGTATGGTCCTGGTATAAAAGTAGATACACAGATCAATGGAACACAATGGAGAACACAGACATAAAACCATATACCTATAAACAACTGATTAGAAAGTAATTGGAAAGCCACGCACAGAGAATGAAACTGGATGCCTATCTCTCACCATACACAAAATTTAACTCAAGCTAGATTAAAGACTTATATGTAAGACCTGACATCATAAAAGTTCTAGAAGAAAATTTCAGAAAAACTCTTCTGGATATTGGCCAAGGCAAAGAATTTATGACTAAGCCTCAATACAACAAAAACAAAAGTACATAAACTTAATTAAACTAAAAAGATTCTATACTGCAAAAGAAAAAAATCAACAGGACATATAGACAATCTACAAAATGTGAGAAAATATTCACAAACTGCATCAAACCAAGAACTAATATCAGAATCTACAAGGAACTCAAACAAATCAGCAGGAAAAACCAAATAAAGTGGGCAAAAGACATGAACATTATTTAAAAGATGATATAAAAATGGCTAATGAAAATACAAAAAAATGCTCTTTAGCACTAATTATCATGGAAATACAAATTATTAAAATAAAACCATAATGAGATACTGCTTACCCATGTCAGAATGATTATTATAAAATGAAAAAGGTAAAAAAAAAAAAAAAAAAAGCAGCAAATGTTGGCAATGAGATGAAAAGAGAAGGCTTATTCACTGTTCTTGCAAATGTAAATTTGGAAATGGAGATTTCTCAAAGAACTAAAAGTAGACCTACTATTTGATTCAGCAGTCGCAGTACTAGGTATCTACCCAAAGGAAGTCATTATGTCAAAAAGACACATGCAGTTGTGTGTTTGTTGTAGCACAATTCACAATTCCAAAGATATGGAATCAATCTAAGTGTCCATCAACTGATAAGTGGATAAAGAAAATGTGGATATCCAAATGCATATGGATGTATACGTACACATTCAGTACAAGTGAGCTATAAAAAAGGAATGAAATAACATTTTTTGCAACAACTTGGATGGAACTGGAAACCATTATCCTAAATGGAGTAGTAGATATCTCAGGAATAGAAAAACAAAGACCAGTTGTACTTACTTAAGAAAGAGAGTTGAATGAGGTGTGCATGGTCACACAGAGTGTGGCACGAGAGATTTTTGAAACGTGGGAAAAGGAAGGCTGGGAGGAGGATGAGGCCTCAGGTATAATGTATACTATTCAGCTGATGGATACACCAAAAGCTCTGACTTCATGACTTTACAATTCATCCACGTAACAAAAAAATACTTGCATTCCTCAAATCTATTGAAATTAAAAGCAACAGAGGAGCACAAATACAACAGGGATTCTACCTAAGAAATGCAAACAATGTAATCTAATCATTTATAACCTCCTATGAATTTGAAATTTAAAAAAAATTAAAAACAAAAACAACAAAGGACAAGTGATACCAGACAAGCATCTCTGTGTGTAATTTTTTACTACCTCCCCATATTTACTCAATTCCTATTATATGTATTATAGTATTTTAAAATAACATAAGACTGTGTCTCTAATTCCCAGACCACAGACTGGGAACAAAGATTCATCTGTACTTACAACTATTCCCCATCACCACCTGAGCTCCACCTCCTGTCAGATCCACAGGTATCATATTCTCACAGAGTATGAACACTTCTATAAACTGCGCATTGGTTGGAGGGATCTAGGTTGGGTGCTACTCCTTATGAGAATCTAATGCTTGGTGATCCGTGGAGGTGTAATGCAGTTCAATCATCCCCAACCCCTGCCCCCAACATCTAATCAAAGAAAAACTATCTTCCATGAAACTCATTCCTGGTGCCCAAAAAGTTGCAGACCACTGATATAAAAAGAACTGAGTCAGAATAAAAGCTTTCTTTTCTTTTTTTTTTTTTTTGAGACACAGTTGCCCTTGTTAGTGGCATCATAGCTCACCACAACCTCAAACTCTTGGGCTCAAGTGATTCGCTTGCCTCAGCCTTTAGAGTAGCTGGGTCTACAGGTACCCGCCACAATGCTTGGCTGTTTTTAGAGATGGGGTATCACGCTTTCTCAGGTTAATTTGGAACTCCTGAGCTCAGGCAATCCACCTGTCTTGGCCTCTCAGAGTAGTAGGATGAAAAAGATTTTTGAAATTAAACACAATGGCATGCCAGTATGCCATATTTTTAAAAAACTCAATAAAATCTGGATTTATCAATAATAAAAAGTAATGGCAGTGGAGAAAAAGGAAGTAGTTACATAGTACACTGACCTGAAAAGTGTATGAGTTTACCTTATAAGTTTAAGAACTTAGAGATTACTCAAAAGACAGGCTAAAGAAAAAGGGCCTAGGAGAGACATTTAAAGAACAGCTAGTGACAATCAATCATATCTGAAGGAAAAAAAAAATCACCTCAGGGAGAGGCAAGATGGCTGACTGGAACCAGCTTTCCAGAGGCTCCCATCCAGAAGGAGAGTTAATGGATAGAAGCTTATCAAGTAAGCTGATGGTTTGGAACTGAGCCAAGATAGAATATTGAAGAGTGCACATCACCCCTGCTGAGGCAAGCTGTGACCTCAAGAAAACAAACAATAGGTACAAAACCCATCCCCAAGAGGTCAGGAGTCCCTTCCTCCATGAGAACAGCTTATAGTATAGTTTCCACAAACAAGCGAGCAGAGTTCAGATCCTCTCCTGTTTTATTCCACAGGAGAGACCTGCTAAATACTGGAACTCCTTCCCCAGAGAGAACCTACTTGTGTGCCTTGGCATTCTACCACCAGGCATAAAACTGAGCATACACTTTACCTGCAATTCTGATCTCCCAGCACTCCCCTCCACTCCCACCCGGAGGTCTAGAAACCTGTCCCCCGCAGAGTCCAGGCTCTTGGGAAATTTCCTGACAGGTCTGGGCAAGGAGACTGCTACAAGTCTGTGCTAACACGACTGCACAAATGCACCAGGTGGGGCTTGGAGGGGACTGAGACTAGAATACATGTGCAGAGAGGCAGCATACTCCCAAGACAGAGCTGAGTCAGAATTGCTGCTTTTGGGAGC